GGGTCACTGCCACGCCCTGATACTGATATCACCTGTCCCTTGAGTAGCAGGTGGTACTCAAGGGGTCACTGCCACGCCATGGACTCGAGCCATCAGTGTGAAGAGCCTCACCTGTGTAATAATTACCTGTCTAGTAATTACAGGTAACATTACAGCACAGTAGACGGTGGTATATAAGAGACAGGTGAGGACAGGTGAAGGGTGGTGAAGGTACAGGTGAGGGTACAGGTGAGGACAGGTGAAGGGTGGTGGAGGTACAGGTGAGGGTACAGGTGAAGGGTGGTGGAGGTACAGGTGAGGGTACAGGTGAAGGGTGGTGGAGGTACAGGTGAGGGTACAGGTGAAGGGTGGTGGAGGTACAGGTGAGGGTACAGGTGAAGGGTGGTGGAGGTACAGGTGAGGGTACAGGTGTAGCTGCCACACCTACACCTGTATACCTCGTGCTTGTGTTTCCCAGAAGTGCCCCACCACCTCCTCCTCCACCCCCCCCTCCTTCTCCACCCCCTCCCCTCCCTCTTACCTCCCTCTCACCTCCACCCCTCCCTCCTCACCTCCCCCTCTCTCTGCTCCCTTTGTCTGCTTCAATACTTTTCTGGCCTTCCCCAATATTTTTGTTTTCGTCACGCCCTCATTAAGACCAAGTATTATTGATATTAGTGTGTGTGTGTGTGTGTGTGTGTGTGTGTGTGTGTGTGTGTGTGTGTGTGTGTGTGTGTAACTAACAGCACTGCGACAGGGAGAGTAAAGGAGGGAGACAGAAGGGAGAGAGAGAAAGCAAGGTAGGGAGAGGGGAGGGAGGGGAGGAGGTCAATTGGGTAGAAGCGGACATGGGACAGGGACAAACAGACAGAAAGACAGACAGTCACCTTCACCCACACAACCTTACCTTCCTATAATTAACTGGGACAACCCTGTGTCTCCTCTGACTATCAGCTTTTCTCTCTCCCGCTCTCTACTCTCTCTCTCTCTCTCTTTCTCTCTCTCTCTCTACTCTCTCTTTCTCTCTCTCTCTTTCTTTACTCTCTCTCTCTCTCTCTCTCTCTCTACTCTCTTTCCTTACTCTATCTCTAGGTGCCTTTCTTTACTCTCAGAGCAGAGGTAGGACATAGCAGAGAAGAGTGGGACATGTGAGGGCAGAGTGGGACATGGCAGAAGAAGTGGGACATGGCAGGGCAGTGGGACATGGCCAGAGCAAGTGGGACATGGCAGGGACTTGGGGAAGTGGGGACATGGCAGAGCAGAGTAGGACATGGCAGAGCAGAGTAGGACATGGCAGAGCATAGTAGGACATGGCAGAGCAGAGTAGGACATGGCAGAGCAGAGTAGGACATGGCAGAGCAGAGCAGGACAGAGCAGAGTAGGACATAGCAGAGTTAGGATATGGCAGAGCAGAGCCCTCGTAGTGTAGTGAGGGTGGCAGCCTGTGTGAGTTATGGAAGGACTCACAAAGGACTCACACACCTCCTCCTCCTCCTCCTTCCTCCACCTTCTCTTCTTCCTCCTCCTCCTCTTCCTCCTCCTCCTCCCCCTCCTCTTCCTCCTCCTCCTCCTCTTCTCCTCCTACCTCCAACTTCTCACCTAAAACAAATACAAAAATTAACAACAAAACTCATTTATTTATTGACTGTAGCCCCAGGTACGAGAGTGAGCCAGTGTGACGTGTTGTGACGTTAACTATAGTGAGCCAGTGTGACGTGTTGTGACGTTAACTAAAGTGAGCCAGTGTGACGTGTTGTGACGTTAACTAGTGAGCCAGTGTGACGTGTTGTGACGTTAACTAAAGTGAGCCAGTGAGCGTGTGACGTTAACTATAGTGAGCCAGTGTGACGTGTTGTGACGTGCTATAGTGAGCCAGTGTGACGTGTTGTGACGGTAACTATGGTGACCAGTGTGACGTGTTGTGACGTTAACTATAGTGAGGCCGGTGTGACGTGTTGTGACGGTAGCTATAGTGAGGCCAGTGTGACGTGTTGTGACGTTAACTGCCGTGGCGAGCCAGTGTGACGTGTTGTGACGTTAACTAGTGAGCCAGTGTGACGTGTTGTGACGTTAACTAGTGAGCCAGTGTGACGTGTTGTGACGTTAACTAAAGTGAGCCAGTGTGACGTGTTGTGACGTTAACTAAAGTGAGCCAGTGTGACGTGTTGTGACGTTAACTATAGTGAGCCAGTGTGACGTGTTGTGACGATAACTAGTGAGGCAGTGTGACGTTAACTATAGCGAGCCAGTGTGACGTGAACTAGTGAGCCGAGAACGCAGCAATCTTATTTTTTTTAAAGGATCTAAACTCGAGTTAGGTCAGGTCAGGTCAGGTCAGGTCAGATTAGGTTAGGTTACAATTACGATAGAAGAAAAAAAAATTCTTATCTGGTAGCAAAATCAGCACCGTACCTCCACAGGGTCTAGTGCAGGTGAATGAAAGCAAATTAAGGTCCCGCCAGAGCACAGGTTTGAGGCTATAATTGGCTACCTTTGTTGTGCTCTGCTTAAGTGAACTTGTTAGGTAGAAATTTTATACCCCGAGTTACGAAAAAAATACCTATCGAAAGGATCTCAGAATTGGGGACCTGAATGAGTGGCTGCAGGTGTTGTGAGGGTAGGAGGGGGGGATGGGGGAGGGGGGTGTCTGTGTGGAAGGTGAGGAGGGGGGGAGGGGAGAGTGATGGGAAGGGGTAATGAAAACACCAGTTGACTTAAGTAACCAGAAACACCTTAACGATAATGTAAACAGTAAGGTGTAAACAGAGACGACCCTCAGACTACTTGGGGTCCAGAATCAGAAGAAAAAAGTGACACGACTCACAACCACCACCGCCACTACCACCGCCGCCGCCACCACTACCACCACCACCACCGCCACCACCACCACCACCACCACAAACACACCGCGGGTCCAAACTCCCTAAAAAATCTACCTAAAAAAAACCCACAGATTACTGAGCCTTTTTTTAAGAGATGCCAACGAGTTTTATCCACACACCAAGTTTTATCGAAATTCAGGAATGTTTTGGTTAAGTTGTGGTGTTTACGGTGGACCAGACGGACGGACGGGCGGACGGGCGGGCGGACGGGCGGGCGGACGGACGGACGGACGGACGGACGGACGGACGGACGGACGGACGGACGGGCGGGCGGGCGGGCGGACGGACGGACGGACGGGCGGACGGACGGATGGACGGACGGATGGACGGACGGGCGGGCGGGCGGACGGACGGACGGGCGGACGGGCGGGCGGACGGATGGACGGATAGACAAACAAATGGACGTACATTATTTCCCTGCCCCCAGTTGTTGTCTTCTCTTCACCGGGACTTGAAGGACTAGTTTGGTGAGCGTAGAAACTGTTCAGTGACACACACACACACACACACACACACACACACCTACCTCTGTTTTTTAACGAGGCCAGAAAAGGTGTGGGGCGGACCTCCTCCCTCCCCTAATATGCACTACCTTACATACCTAACCTAACCTAACCTAACCTGCTTAACCCAACCTAACCTAACCTAACCTAACCTAACCAACCCAACCTAACACAGCCTAACTAACCCCCACCCCCAGATAGTGATAGGGTGTTTCATCATCAGAGTAAAACAAGAGTGTGAGGGGGGGAGAGAGGGAGGAGGAGGAGGGGTAGAGGAGGAGGGGTAGAGGAGGGAGGTGAGAGGAGGAGGGGGGAGGAGGGGGAGAGGAGGAGGAGGAGGAGGAGGGGTTACTCTTCAGGTGACTCAATGTGTTGACCTGAGTGACGTTTCAACACACAGGTGATGTAAACAAGTGTGTGTGTGTGTGTGTGTGTGTGTGTGTGTGTGTGAGTGTGTGTGTGTGTGTGTGTGTGTGTGTGTGTGTGTGTGTGTGTGTGTGTGTGAGTTAAAACTGGATCAGTGTGTTAGTTAAAGATGCAACAGTTTGATGATCTGGACTAGTTAGGGGTAATCAGGTTTTCATTCAAGCGGGTTACCTCAAGACACACACACACAAACAAACACACACACACACACGCAACACCCTTCTCTTCCTCTCACACACACGCAACTCATACACACACACACTCTCTCTCTCTCTCTCTCTCTCTCTCTCTCTCTCTCTCTCTCTCTCTCTCATCCGTATTCGCCGTTGTTACTTCGGATCTGAGACTCAACAGAAGAAATGGAGAAAGAAAGTTAAAGAACAAAAGTGAGAACAGAAAAAGAGACAAAACAAAACAACAGTAAACAGACAAAACAAAACAACAGTAAACAGAAGAAAGAAGATAAAAAAAAAGCGAGACAGAACAACAGAGAGAAGATACGAACGGAATAAATGAAGTAGGAAGGAAAACAAAGAATGAATGAAGATGAAGTTTGCCTCAACATTACGTCTTGGTTAGGTTAGGTTAAGGTGGGTTGGGTTAGGTTAGGTTAGGTTAGGTTGGGTTAGGTTAGGTTGGGTTGGGTTAGGTTAGGTTGGGTTAGGTTAGGTTAGGTTGGGTTAGGTTTGGTTAGGTTGGGTTAGGTTAGGTTAGGTTGGGTTGGGTTAGGTTAAGTTGGGTTAGGTCAGGTTAAGTGACATTTGCCCTACCATTAAGTGCAGGTAAATAAGGTAGACATAAACACAAGCACCTGGTAATTAAACTGGACCGAGGTGTTTATGAGGTGAGGCTGTGTACATAATCCCAGATCGATACACAGAGTCCTCTTCAAGTTATCGTCTGGACACGAATAGTTTTCACAGACAGACGGACGGACGGACATACACTCGTGATAATGATTACCTTGCTATACTTTATTCCGTAGAGAGAGCATATCTCCCACACCATAACAGTAACTCAGTATAGTATGACAAGAGGAACCGTTCATTCCCTCACTCACCTTCCCTGGTAACTGGTGTAGTAATGCGGTGACAAGCCAAGCGTCCTCACCTCTCACTGTCTGCTGCCCCTCTCCACCCCCCCCCCCCACCCACCCCACTCCACTCCCTCTCTTTTTGAATTCACTCACCCAAGCACAAGATTCACCCACCTCGATAAGACGCAAACTGGCAACCCTCCACGTCGTCCGGCAGCGCCACTCGCCCGCAGCGGCCAATCTGAGAAGCATGAAATGTCAACATGATGATGGTGTTTAGCTGAAGAGTGTGGTGGTGATGGTGGTGGTAACTGGTGGTGATGGTGGTGGTAACTGGTGGTGGTAACAGTGGTGATAATGAATAAAAAATAGATTACAAATTGGTAGACAACGACAGTGATAATGTATAAAAATAATAAATTGATGGATAAACACAAATATCATGCATGTAAAGAATTAAATACAGACGTACAAAAACATACACAGACACACAGACACACATTCACAGGTAAACACGCAATTCTTGACACACACACACACACACACAGATACAAGGAACCACTGCCTCAGATCTGTAGTGTTAATGATAAGTTGTGGATCACTGGAGCAAAGCCTGACCCACACCCTCTGTACGGCACCATCCAGCCGTGAAACACACACACACACACACACACACAGTCAGAAATGAGAACAAGGAAACGAAGATCAAACACAACACAAATCATCGTACTCAAGGGTTAAGTCATCGTACTCAAGGGTTAAGTCATTGTACTCAAGGGTTAAGTCATCGTACTCAAGGGTTAAGTCATTGTACTCAAGGGTTAAGTCATCGTACTCAAGGGTTAAGTCATTGTACTCAAGGGTTAAGTCATCGTACTCAAGGGTTAAGTCATTGTACTCAAGGGTTAAGTCATCGTACTCAAGGGTTAAGTCACTGTACTCAAGGGTTAAGTCATTGTACTCAAGGGTTAAGTCACTGTACTCAAGGGGTTAAGTCATCGTACTCGAGGGTTAAGTCATCGTACTCAAGGGTTAAGACATTGTACTCAAGGGTTTAAGTCATCGTACTCAAGGGTTAAGTGACGTCATGCAGCTTTTTGGGGACAAGCAGTGAAGACTAAAAATAACTCCAGGATCACCTGAAGCTTTTTCACCCCAGCTTATTTTACCTAAAGCTTAACCACCCTTACACTATTGTGGGGGGTTAGGATTGGTTAGTATTAGGTTAGGTTAGTGTTAGGTTAGGTTAGTATTAGGTTAGGTTAGGGTTAGGTTAGGTTAGGTTAGGGTTAGGTTAGGTTAGTATTAGGTTAGGTTAGGTTAGGTTAGGTTAGGGTTAGGTTAGGGTTAGGTTAGCATTAAGGTGGCTAATCCCCAGGTAAAATAAGCTGGGATGACAACACGAAGCTTTAGAAAACTGGCCAGCATAATATTATTTTCACCGTGTATAAACCTCAAGCCATCATTATCTTTAACACCAAGCACAACAGATAAAAATCCCCTTCTCAAGTGTCATAAATACATACTAACGACCCTCAGAGGTAGTTACGTGTGTGTCTAAAGAGGTAGTTTGATCTCGTTTAAGGATACAGGTGATTCAACAGCTTGGCTCATTAAACACCGAGTGCATATTTGTTAATCGATGCTATTGGTTGGTGGTATAAAACGGGCGCTATTTTTTACTGCTCAGGGGCTACGGAGATATTAATATTTACTTTTTCGACCAATTGATTTTTTTTATTCACATTACAATATTAAATTTTTTCTCGTTTTTATTCACATTGCTAATAATATTTTTGGGGAATGTGCAGTTCGATCAAAATGTAACCTAACTTAATCCAACTTAACCTAATCTAACCTTCCCTTCTGATTTACTTTACCATCTGTAAGGGAGAGAGAGAGGAATGTATGGTCACTTATAAACGCTCGACTTGAGGTAAAAGTTGATGCGCTTTCTACCACCGCACCTTGTTTACCTGCGCCAGTGATCCAGTGCTCAAGGTAAGTGTGTGTGTGTGTGTGTGTGTGTGTGTGTATTAGACAAAACATAATGGAGTTGAGGTTAGGTTAGGTTACATCACGTTAGGTTAGGTTATCATCAAGGTGAACTAACTAAACTAGGGGGGGGGCTAATCTCCAGGTGATCTATTCAGTAAAACCTTTGAAAATCTGACCATAACTAACACTATAGGCTGATGGGTCGACCTCTCCTCATAAACCCACAATAAAGAGAAGGATAATCAGTGCAGGTCCTGAGGAAGGGGCGGGCAGGGGCAGGGCAGGGCGGAGGTTGATGTCCGCATTACTTCACTGAGGCAAGTCCTTCTAGCATCGTAGGTGAGACTATAGTAACAAATAAGGTGGGGTGGGGTGGGGTGGGGTGGGTGGGGTGGTGTGGGTGGGGTGGGGTGGGGTGGGGTGGGGTGGTGTGGGGGTGGGGTGGGGTGGGGTGGGGTTGGGGTGGGGTAGGGTGGTGTGGGTGGTGTGGGGCGGGGTGGTGTGGTGTGGGGTGGGGTGGGGTGGTGTGGGGTGGGGTGGTGTGTGGGGTGGGGTGTGGGTGGTGTGGGGTGGGGTGGGGTGGTGTGGGGTGGGTTGGGGTGGGGTGGGGTGGTGTGGGGTGGTGTGGGGGGGGTGGTGTGGAGTGGTGTGGGGTGGTGTAGGTGGGGGTGGGGTGGTGTGGGATGGTGTGGGGTGGAGTGGTGTGGGATGGTGTGGGGTGGGGTGGGGGTGGTGTGGGGTGGGGTGGGGTGGGGTGGGGTGGGGTGTGGTGTGGGGTGGGGGTGGTGTGGGGGTGGGGTGGGGTGGTGTGGGGTGGGGTGGGGTGGGGTGGGGTGGGGTGGTGTGGTTGTGGTGTGGTGTGGGGTGGTGTGGTGTGGGGAGGTGGGGTGTGGTGGGGTTTTAACTTGTCGACTGTTAAGAACTATCGCTGCACACACACACACACACAATCATATCACCATAGCTTTTCATGTTATCTTTTAGACGTGTGTGTACGTGCTCTCTACATGTGTACGTCTTGTCTACATGTGTAGACACGCTCAGACACCATACTAACTTATACACACTCAAACACCATACTAACTCCTTCCTGACTTAATGGTTCACTATCAGTTTATTACGATCTAGCATAATCGGTTCTGTTCACTATATCCTTGACCATGAATTGCGTGCGTGTGTGTGTGTGTGTGTGTGACTCACTCACCTGCAGCTGGCGGCGTCACGTACAACAAACCGGGTGTGATGAAGAGGGTTATGGCGTGTGTGCGTGATCCTAACACTTATATAATAATACTCTGCCACACTTCCTTCACCCTGTCTGCCACACTTCCTTCACCCTGTCTGCCACACTTCCTTCACCCTGTCTGCCCTTCCTTCACCTGTCTGCCACACTTCCTTCACCCTGTCTGCCACCTTCCTTCACCCTGTCTGCCACACTTCCTTCACCCTGTCTGCCACACTTCCTTCCCCTGTCTGCCACTTCCTTCACCCTGTCTGCCACACTTCCTTCACCCTGTCTGCCACTTACTTCACTGTCTGCCACACTTCCTTCACCCTGTCTGCCACACTTCCTTCACCCTGTCTGCCACACTTCCTTCACCCTGTCTGCCACACTTACTTCACCCTGTCTGCCACTTACTTCACCCTGTCTGCCACACTTCACCCTGTCTGCCACTTCCTTCACCCCTGTCTGCACTTACTTCACCCTGTCTGCCACACTTCCTTCACCCTGTCTGCCACACTTCCTCACCCTGTCTGCCACACTTCCTTCACCCTGTCTGCCACACTTCCTTCACCCTGTCTGCCTCCTCACTTCACCCTGTCTGCCACACTTCATCCCTGTCTGCCACACTTCCTTCACCCTGTCTGCCACACTTACTTCACCCCTGTCTGCCCACACTTCCCTTCACCCTGTCTGCCACACTTCCTTCACCCTGTCTGCCACACTTCCTTCACCCTGTCTGCCACACTTCCTTCACCTGTCTGCCTCACTCACTTCACCCTGTCTGCCACACTTCCTTCACCCTGTCTGCCCCACTTCACCCTGTCTGCCACACTTACTTCACCCTGTCTGCCACTTCCTTCACCCTGTCTGCCACACTTCCTTCACCCCTGTCTGCCACACTTCCTTCACCCTGTCTGCCACACTTCCTTCACCCTGTCTGCCACACTTCCTTCACCCTGTCTGCCACACTTCCTTCACCCTGTCTGCCACACTTACTTCACCCTGTCTGCCACGGTTCCTTCACCCTGGCACACTAACCTGACATAAACCAACCTAACTTAACCTAACCAGACTTACCATAAACTAACCCAACCTAACCTAACCTTTAATTAATTTCTGTATTATATTTTAAACAACATGACATCACGCGCTCCGACCAATCATAACCTGGCTGCTGGGTGCTCTCTAGCTGGAAAACGGCATAGTGTGGATGGATAGGGGCCGGGTCACCTGTCTCCACTCCAGTTAATTTCGTCTAAAGATTAACCATCCTAACACTATTTGGAGAGGTTAGGTTAGGTTAAATTTGACTAGGTTGCATTAGGTTAGGTTAAATTTGGCTAGGTTGCATGGGTTAGGTTAAATTTGGCTAGGTTGCTTTAGGTTAGGTTAAAATTGGCTAGGTTGCATTAGGTTAGGTTAAAATTGGCTAGGTTGCTGTTAGGTTAGGTTAAATTTGGCTAGGTTGCATTAGGTTAGGTTAAATTTGGCTAGGTTGCGTTAGGTTAGGTAAGGTTAAAATTGGCTAGGTTAGGTTAGTGGTCAATATTTAGCGTGAAATAAACTGTGGAGGAGATTCTTCAGGTGATCTGGTGGGGGGTGTGGGGGTGAGGTGGGGGCAACAGTTTGACAATGACGGTAGGACGCGGGCGAAGAAACAAGTGAGAGGTGTCGGGCGCACGGGTGGATGGGTGGGCGGGCGTGTTTGCCGTTACTGTGGGTGGGGCTCCTACGCGGTTTCTTTGTGGGCGGCAAATTGTGTGCGCGGACCTGATCCACCTCTCTCGCCCACCACAACACCCCAAAAAACCTGTCATGGTGGCTTCAGGTACAGTCGCCTGCATTTGTACCTAATACAGTGAGACGTGGCACCTATGTGTTTGTTTACATCATATCAAAACTCCCGGAATGGCCCCTAAGGAACCTCACAATAGTAGCCAGACTAAAGAGGGGTAAATAAGTATCCCACAGTGGTGCCACATCTCACAAAACACCCCAGCCACTGTAGTTGGTATAAG